GTAGAAAAAGTATTTATGGATTTAGAAAGATTTTGAAAAAGTTCAGAAATGCTTGTGTTTTTGCGAAGAAATTATTGACTATTATCAAAATTTGATTCTTACTGAAGGAGAACTACACACTTGCGTAACCAGTGGGGCCATTTTGAAACAATTTTCCAGATAAAAATTGTGCTCAAATTCAACAAGCACATTATCTTCAACGAATTAAGGGGAAAACGATAGTTGAAAGGAAATTGGGTAATGACGTCATGAATGAGATTGCAACAAAATTTGTGGTTTGGATAAAGTACTGGCTAGTTGCCAAGTATAGCGTATTGCACTTTGCCCGGGGCATGGGAAAATTGGAGGTGAGGATAGTTGAGTGACAACTGTAATAGGGAAAATGCGCGGAAGGCAAGATATATGAATGGAAAATGTGCTGGAAACAGGGTTCAAACCCAAAATGACCAAAATAGGAATATAAACGCTATTATAGGACGATTACGGCACACATGAGCTGAACCTGCACGAAACATGAAAGGAAAAAGAGAGAAAAAGGAGTACGAATAAAGGCTGAGGCGGGTTTTGACGTTTCGGGAATGTCGCGCATGGGCTTGTCGACACTAAAAACTCTCCCCCCATCAACAAACATCAAAACGTACCCAGAAACATCGTGTTGGCTGAGTCAACCGACTGGAATAGGGATCAGCATGACGGAAAGAAGCAGAAAAACATAGCTGTAGAGCCGGAAAGTACTTGCAAAAGGTGTGAGCGTTGTTTGTAGAAAGAGAGCTGGCTGGCTGTGGAGCGCGTTTTTTCTAGGTTGTGGATAAAAACGTGCTATAGTGTTAACAATCAGGTAGGTGGGGTGTGTCGGCAACGAATTCTGGATTCTGCATGGGTTCTTTTTTTTCTAAACGGAGCTTGTGGTCTCAGTAGCACAATCTAAACAGTGTTGGATTTCATAGTCAGTAATAGGCGTGGAGCTTTACTTGAAAATAATCTTAGTATAGTCCGAACTATACATACTGGTCACTTGGTCGCTGTCATTACAGTAATGCTACAGAACCTCTACAGTACCCCGTAACCCAGTCAATATCCTTATCATTAGATAAACAGACAGTCTTAGACAATCAGGGGCCATGGAAAAATGAAGTGCAAATCCTGCCAAGCTCGCCAAGAGACGGAAAAGAGGCGCCACTACACCATCATTACAGTACCACTATCGTACCCCATGATTCGATCAATATCAATCGATATCAATAAATTGGAGAGACTGCCGCCGGAGATGAAGTACAAATCACCAAAGTTGGCTGAGGAACCGGAGAAGTAGGGGAGGGGAGCACTACGGCGCTACTACGGTATCACTACAGTACCACTACAGTACCTCTACAGTACACATAACCAATAATGATAGATATTTTTAACTCAGAGAACCACGGACTGAATAAAGGGCAGATCATACAAAGCTGGCTGAGGAGCCGGAGAAGTAGAGGCGCCACTACAGTACCACTACAGTACAACCACAGTACCCCATAAATCAATCGATATCGATCGATACCTGTCAGACGTCATGGGCCAAAACGAAGTGCAGATCACGTAAAGCTTGTCTGAGGAGGGAACAGAAGAGGCGCCACTACAGTGCCACTACAGTACCTTTACAGTACACATAATCAATATGCATATCATTCACTCAGAGACGGATTGGAATGCAGGGAAGATTAGCAAAGCTGCCTGAGGAAACGGAGAAGTAGAGGCGCCACTACAGCATCGCTACAGTACCGATACAGTACCCCACAACTCAATCATTATTGATCTATACCATTTTATCAGACAAATTTTGTGTCAAAACGAATTGCAGATTACGCAATTTGCCTGAGAAGATGAAGAAAAAGAGGCGCCGTTACAAGGAGAAGAAGACGCCGTTACAGTACCACTACAGTACTACATATCCCATACCTTGATCGGTATCAATCGATAATACCTTGTCAGACAACTCATAGGATAAAATGAAGCGCAGATCACTTGAAGCTTGCTCAAGAAAACGGAGTAGAAGAGGCGCCACTACAAACTACAGTATCACTACCGTGCCCCATTACTCGATCGATATCAATCGATATCATTAAACCTAGCAAATCACAGGCAAAATGAAGTGCAGATCACGCAAAGCTCGTCGAGGCGGAGGAGAAGTAGCGAGTGCGGCTATGTGAGGGAGAGAGTGACCGTTTCGGGTAAACATCCTCACCTCCACCATATCTGGCGCACTCCCCATCACGTACGCTAGCTCGGCGAGCGCTTTGAGTCGGAGCAACCACGTACGGTGATCGGAAATCTCAAAGATTAGGAAATCTCTGAAGTGGGGATGGGGGGGGGGGGAGGGAAGAGCTATGAGTGATTGTGGTCGATATATCGATTTTTTGTCAAGTGTTAATCAGGATGGAGATTCGTAGCCTCTTTGGCTGTTCATCTGCCCAAATGCAATTTCTCCAGGCGTCAAAGAAATATGCGTGCGAGTCTTCCAATTTGTGTTTTCATGTTTACTGATCTCATAATATGTTATAACTCAACTGAAGTACTCCTAAGACATGATGAATATACAATACCGCTCGTATTTTTTTGAAACGACGCAAAGTTGCCCGAATTCATGTGACATCACCGCAGCATGGCCATATCTAGCTTCAGAGGGGACGTTTTCTTACGCCAAGGGCACCGTTCGACTCAGCTCATTGCGGCGCATCTTCTGATAGATAGAAATGCTCGCTTGGACACAGTAGGAGGTCAGATCCCACGAATCTTCCAGATTTTTGCTTACGTAGGTTGCCCAGTGAGTGCAATGAATGAGCACGTTGAGTAACCTACCGAAGAAAAAAAATTGAAACGATTTGTGGAATCTGGCCTCCTACTGAGTTTAAGCAGGCACTTCAATATATCAGAAGATGCATCGCGCCGAGATGAGCCGAATGATGCCTTTGGATTAAGAATTCGCCCACTCCAAATCGAGATATGACCACGCTTCGGTGTTGTCACATGATTCAGGCGACTTTGCGTCGTCTTCCAAAAAGTACGAGAGGTATTTTGTAACTATAACTACTAACGGGACCTCTATGTAAGTAAAGCTAGGAGAAGGGAAACTGACCATTAGTACGGGAATAGGGTGAGTGACCGTTATCATAGTGTTTTGACAGGGCTGGACGGAGCAGCCGGGCATGCCAGCTGGTAAACAATCAGATAATCATGAATTCTTCTAAATGTGCAACAATCGCTCATTCCACCGTAAATAGGTAGAGTTGAGATACTTTGATTCAAATGGGATTATATTCTTGAGGCCCAAGAACGAGGCGGGAATGCTGAAGAGTTATTATAATCCTGCGACTATGTTTACCTTGACGCTATCTATCCCTTTGATTTCTGATATAGCTACGAATATTTGTTTTCTTTTGTGAGATTTCGTGATCGCGTTTACTGTTTTGGTATGCGTTTTCGATCTTGTTTATTTATCAATTCGTCAATCGTGCTGTTGTCCACCTCCGATGGTTACTGAAGGGTCCAAGCAAAGCAGCGAGCTCATACTCTTTATTTGGGTGCTAGATGCTGATTGATTTACCCAGTACCGCAGTAACAAGCACGCTTGGAATGAGTACGGTACTGGGCGAGATTAAGTTGACTGACGCCAAACGATTAGTACAAACTCTCGCTTTAAGCAATGTTCGGTTAAATAAGTTTGTTAAAGTATATCAGTTGCTTTCCACTCGAGGACTTTAGACACTCAATTTGGCTTTAATTAATCAATTAAATTGTAGGCGGTGCCTCTGATTTTGCGACGAACAGAGATCAAAAGTTGAATATGAAATCAATAATTGTTATTGGCATGGACCTTATTTTACAAAAGTGAAGAGTGTTCTTGTTGAACTATTGATTTAAAAATGAAACTTGAAGTGTTTCAAGAATAATTTTATGACTATGTAAAATACAAATAAAAATTGAACAAAGTAAAATCATTGAAGCTGTAGTAACGTAAATATTTTAGGATTGGTCCAGATGATTTCATGATTCCTTCTATCCTTCTGGCGAAGATAAAAAATTTTCAAGCAAAAACTTTAGTAGATCAATAAATCAATATAGGCGGTCCGTATGTCAGGAACAAAACCTATTATGTTTGTATGTCTCCTATCTCATGCATTATGTAATTTGGTTTAGACTAATGAACCAGTAATCTAAAGGTGCTATTTGAAAGAGCGTTCGCTTCGGGACCCGCCCTCGGTTTCCCGTTATTTGCAGGTTTTCGAATTGAGCTAACGATTCTTTCTATATTAGATCCCATGATTATTTCTTACCTATTTTGGGCGAAACTAAAAGAGTGGCTACAAATATTATTTAAGTATTGATTAGTAACTTTCCTCTAAAAGCAGCTTGACCTAATGACCGCCGCGCTCATTACAGTTACAAATTCTCGCCCAATACCGTACTCTTTTCGGACCAACAAGCGTCCATGAGCAGTGTTGGGTTTTCGAAATATGATGAGATAGTAATTAGCATGTACGACTTCCGATAAACATAAACATAAATATAAACAATACTACAAAACACCAGTTTTTCTATGATGAGAAATTTTGAAATTTTTCCTAAAATTTAAATTTCATATGCCTTTTGCGGCATTCCAATTTCAGTTTTAACCACAAAAGGTCCTTGGACAAAATCCTTTGGGAACACTATGTCTGCACCTTTGCGCTATGTTTGTCCAAGGCGCTAACGTCGTCGTCGGTCGGTCAGTGAGGGGTTTAAGCCAACGGAACTCACGGATTATGGGCCGCACATTCGAGAGAGACGAGTGCTGGTCAATTCGTAGCTCCGTTTGTCATTGTTTGTCTGATGTCTCGACATAAATTCGAAAACACAAAACGTAAACAGAACGAAAAACAATGGCTGTGCTATTTCGTACAGGGGCAAACAATTTTTTTAAATTTTTTTTCATGCTTTTTTTAAATAAAACAATTCGATATCAATTAAAAAGCATGAATGATAAGAAATACTCTGAATTCTAGCAGAATAATCGATTTCTAATCTAAAGTGCCTTCTTCGACAACTAATTCGGGATCCGCTGGTTCCATACCTCCACAAAGCCGAGGCAAATGTTGCATCGCTTCTTTGGCCTGAAAAAATTCTGGATACTCTTCGTCTACGTGGGAAATCAGCTCAAAAACTTGTCTGGGAAAAGAGAGGGAAACGTTTAGGTAATAAAAAATCGCGCAATTTCCGATTTTCATTCCCCTCCTTTTTCTCTGAACACTTTTATGTACCTTTCAAGTAGTCAAGAAGTGCCTATATTCTATTAGTTTAGTGTAAATAGTAAGATCGGAACCCATGTGATTGCGCCCTTGATCGATCGATTTCCGACAAGGCACTAGCATGGTGCTAGAATTTCGCTGGAACCGCGCTGGAACGGCGGTGGCACGGCAGTGGCACGGCGCTGGCTCCATTGCTTTGATGCAACTTAAAGAAACTTCTCACCTCTTCAGGAGTTTTTCCTGTTGTTTCCGGTAAATAGAAGAAGCATAGCAGAACAGCTAAAGCACATGGTGGGAAGAACATTATCCAAAACGATATCGGAGGTCCTAACAAATTCTTTAGCGGGAAATAAAGAACTAGAATAATTACTCGCCTAAAAAATGAATTTTCCACGGGTAGTTAAAAAAACATTTGCTTCTGCTACTCACAATCCGTTCATAGCGATATTCATCCATGTGAATGTAGCAGCTTTTGCTCGTGCTCCGACAAGTTCGCCACCAACAAAAAGACACAGTGGTCCTGGTCCTGCCGCGAATATCAAGTTAAATATGCAGCAGGATATGACAACACACCAGCCAATCACGCCGATCTGGAGAAAATTTATTCTTTAATCAAATAACGATTTTCGAAGAAAAAAAATCTTACTTACACGACTTTTTTCGAACCACATCATGAATCCGGCTATGAAAGTGTTTACTATGGCTAAGCCAGCGAATGTATAAATTAACATTGGACGTCGACCAACATTTTCTATCACTCGACTAGATGCCAGTACTCCTACCTGCAAATGTAATTTTTCGATCCGTAAATCAAAAATGTATAGTTGGGCTGGCAACGCAGATAATGCATAAGCAACGACCAAAGCAGCGGCGCGGTTTTAGCTGTCTGCGTCTCTCCACTTCAACTACTCTCTCACTCTCTCTCTCTCTCTCTGCAAGAAGCGGTAGTAGCACAACCTTAGCGAGTCTAATGCGTGCATTTTCTGCCTTCGAAATTCTCTCGTATTGTATCACAATTTATAGTTTAATGAATATTCAAAAAAATTTTACCAATATTTTGTAAATGAATAAACTTACTACAGCCATTATGCAGATAAACAAATTTCCAATGGAGGCTTCTAATACGCTGAGACCAACATTGAGAAGAATTTCGAAGGCGAAAGCATTTACAGCTGAAAAGAAATTTTTGGTAAAACCAACCTCCCACTCAAGGCATAAATTTATCAAGAAAATTTTTACGTAGGAGGAAAAGAAATGAACATAGTGAAGGGACTGATTTTCGTATAAGCAGCAAAAGAAACGGGAATTTCTACACAGATGTCGGGGATGTCACAAAGTCTACAAATTTCCGTAAATAATTTTTTTTCTATTTTTTGAATTTCATTTTATATTTTATCTTGAAATGGCTTACCGGCAACACCACACCAAATTGCTCCAGCCATAATTCCTATACCAATCCAGAAACCACATATCCATTCTTTGTCCTGCAAAAAATTGTGGTTCAAAAGTCAAATTTTTATACGTAAACTTGAAAATTTAGTTTCAATTCTAAAATTTAAGAAGTTTCAATTCTAAATTTTGAAAATGATAATTTTTACAGAAAAAACCTACCACAAAAATTCCGAACAAGCCAACTGGTTTTTCAGCTTGACCGGTCTTGTCAGTTGTGGTCTGCATTGCTGCTAATAATGGTTGTGCATCGGCTTCGCTGACGCCGTGATAGTAAATGACGGATTTTTGGGCTTCTTCTCTTTTGCCTTGTGTCATCAGGAAGCTTAAATAAACATTTTGCAGTCTATTATCTGTATTCTGCAAAGGTTTTGTGCTGTAGGCAGCGCCAAGAGTTGTTTGAGCGCCAACGCCGTGCCAGCTCCGTGCCAGAGCCCAGACACGCCCATATTGATCGATCGATGTGCCAGCGGGCGTGCCTTCGTATTGATCGATCTATACGCCGACAGGCTTTGGCACGGCATCGGCACGGGGCCGGTACGGCCAACTCGGGACTTCATTCTGGATATGAAACTTTATAAACCGAAATTTGACTAAACTTAGATTTTTTGATTTTTTCAAATTTCAAAAGTACTGACCTTGGACTTTCTGGACTAAAGAACAAGAGGATAGTGACTATAAGCGTTGCAACTGCCTCTAAAGCATATATCAACCACCATTTTTCGTATGTACCGAATACCTGCAAACAAAGATTATTAGAGATCAGAACCGTTGCAAATGGTTCGAAACTGTTCGGGACGCTGATTCTAAATCTGTTTCATTAACCTGTAGAACAGCTCTACAAAAGAGTTTATCAGCGTTTAAAATGCGCCCCTCATCCCACAGTGATTTCGGAGTGGATAGGCAATGGTGTAAGATGGCGCAGTTGGTAGTATTGATGTCTCTTGCGCGGACGGTCACGAGTTCGAGTTCGTTGTGGGGAAGTTTTTTTTTGCACTGTCAGAGGTTCGAGTTCTTTGTGGCAAAATCGTTCTGCACTTTTCCTTTATTGCTGTTCTTCATGACCAAACACGCTGCTTATGACCGTTCCTTCTCTCTCTTTCTCTCTTTGCTTCTTTTCTTTTTCCCCTATCCCTCCCTTCTCTCTCTCTCTCTCTCTTTCTTTAATCGTCAATGCGATTGTTATCCTCCCGTAGTAAGTTTAGTCGATAAATCAATCCTTTAGAAATAGTTCCACTCTTTTATGTTTTAGCAAAATCGTCTGGACGACCCCGCCTCCGACTGACAATCCCGCCCCTTCCGTTGCTCTCTGGAGGTCTCTTTTCATGTGACTTGAAAATCAGGCCAGTTGTAAGTAGAAGTTCGCGAGGGGAGGGGATGGGTTAAGACATCAAAGAATTTGAATCTTGTAAAGAATTCGTCTCACCTCTGGCATAGCAGTTATAGCGCCACCTACCAAACCGCATTGTAGCATCATACCAGTAGACATCGAAATCACTCCACGACATGATACTGGACTGAAATAGAGACATTTACATTTTGGATTCTACGACTAAATTAAAAACCGTATCTAAGTTGCAAATCTCTTGACTTCATATTTGCAATCATAAAATCAATAAAATATATATATAATCCCTTATATGGATGAAATACGTTCAAAAATCAAATTTTCTGAAAGTGCATATCTTTCATGCCGCGTTGACTACGTTTTGCTTACGCTGTGTCGCCGCCCCCTCACGCGCCTAACGCAGACAATATGTACCGTTACGATCAGTGCTGCGATGCGGCTAAACGCTGCCAGTGAGTTTTAACAAGATAATCACTTATTTCACTCAGCAGCATTGCCTTCTTGATGGTAACAAAAATTTTAATAGTCGTTTAGACCCAGGAAGTATAAATATAAACTTCCGACTCACTAAAATATATCATTCACTCTATGACTAGGAGACGCGAGACCGTATTGCACACATTGTCTAAACAAGCCCAATCGTGTGCTTGGCAGGTTTATGGTTTATTTACTCCTTGAAAACATGGAAGAACAAACTCAAACTTGTTAAGACAACGTCCGCAATGCGGTCTCCACGGATCCTAATCATAGAATAAATGATAAATGGTTTTGCTTTTTATGTGGTGTTTTGAATTTTTAGTGAAAGCAAACTTATAAAAAACGCAGAAATATAAGACGGAAAATATTTTTGAACGTAAATTCAAGCGCTTGCAATGCTCTTGTAAGCTAAATAATATTCTTGCTTATCAATTTTTATAGAATTGAGCTTCTCTTGTGGTTATACAACGAAAATATGATTTTGCGTAAGTAAGAATCTTCATCACTCTGTTATTAGATTAAATTTCAAAAAATTTTAAAATTTTGTTGAAAAAATATGATTATACTCAAAAGTACCTGCATTCCATGATAAATAGTGGGCCAATTCCTATTGAGATACTAAGCGCAATACCAAGAATAATTCGAGAAGCTGTGTAAATGATATAGCTTTCCATCTAAAAACTTTTTTTATGCTATAGCATATCATAGCTAACCTTTGATTCAACTGGCTTGGTGGCTGGTAGGCGGAGCCTTGTGGCCTAATTAAGGCCGCTGGCGTCCGTAACGCAGTCTGCCTCTTTCGCGCGCGTGCTCTCTGATCATCATTCAGCTTTAATTAGATCACAAAGCCCCGCCTTCCAGCCGCTAAGCCAGTTGAATCAGAGGATATACTATCAGGCACTTACCCAATGACTAGCCATAGCCAAAAACATACTGAGCACTTGTAGCGAGAAAGTTACTATGATTCCGTATTTACGTCCAAGTCGATCGGATACCGCCTGTATCATGAGTGCACCAGCAGTAGCACCCCAAAATAGTGACGACACTATGATACCCCAGATATTCTGGAAATTTTATTCGGAACTTTAAAAAATTAAAAAGTTTGGCCCTCTCACCTCCAACTCTGTACGTTCTAGCCGAGTTACATGATGGGCAGCATATGAATCGTTAAGAAATTGTAGAAAAGCCTCTTGTGCTGGATTTGTTATGACCAATTGGTAACCAAAGTTGAAACCACCTCCTGAATAGTTTATGTTTATAAAATATTAAAATTTTCGTAAGAAAAATCAAACTGAGTAGAGCTTTTTCAAAAATCTTGAGCCTATTTAGAAAACCATTCCAGGAGTATGAAATTAATGAGAATTCCACTTCAATGGTTCACTGTTCTATATGTCAATCAATAGAATCTAATATACTTTATCTATCAATTAACAAAATCTAATATCTTTATCGCTACAAACGGTTCCACAAGTGCCGCGTGCGCACACGCAACGCGACGGCTTGTGTTGCGTTCTCGCGTTTTTTTTTGGCCGCACGGCTTGTTTTCCGTGAAATGTTGAAGCTCATGATTTGCGCGCAAGGATTTTCCATGTAACTGAGCGTACTGTACTAAACGAACAATTATGGTCCGTCAGTAAAAAAATCATTACACTTTTATTTAGTCGACTAGCAAAATTTGGATCTCCTTAAAATTCTTAACACATGAGCAACAATCGCTTGATGGTGGGCAAATTTTCTCCACCTATTTACTGTAGAACAGGCCAACGGATTCTGCGTGGGACCCTATACCGAAAGGCGCTTTAGCTGGCAGGTGTGCGAAAGCGAACGCTGCGCGAGACACATAAGCAGCGACATGCCGACGTCCGAATGCATATAGAGTAACATATTGCGATCTATGCATAGAGACAGGTAAATTTTGATTGACAGCATAAAAGACTGGATGAAAAAGTTTATTGCTTTTTGCTTTCTCTCTATCTCTCTCAGACCCCCCCCCCTCCCATTCTCTCAACTTGTTTTCAAAACTGCAGCGATACTTTATGATCTGAGAAACATTTGTTGACCATAAATCTTTCATTGTCCCCTCCCCCTCCCGTTCTCCTGCAATTTGTTTTCAAGGATGTTCCGATACTTTATGATCTGGGAAAATACGCTGACCATAATTTTTCATTTTTTTTTCTCTTGCAATGGCTATTTCTCAGCATGTATGTACTAAGCGCTGGGAAACAGAATGAGCAGCTGTTACACTGATTTAGCATTCCATCCCATGATCCCCCCCCCCCCCCTCTGACAGCAGCGATTTTCAAAGATTCATCACTTCCTGCCCATTCGAACAGTTGCTAATCAGTTAGTCGGCGCTGTAAGCGTGCCGTGTTGCAAGCCTTATGAGATAACGACATAGTCAAACAGACCACCGGCCCTGAAAAAAATATTGCAATTTTGCAATCAATCATTCGATTTACGCAAACGAACAATTTTTCGATGTGATTGCAGTTTTTTTAGCAATCTCGATGCATGCTTGTTCTAACGTTTCAAAGTGCAAATTTTTCTGCAAACCATTTTTGAAGCTATTGTTGAAGGCTTTTAATCAAAGCATTCATGACAAGGCCGATTTTTCGATTACTGCCGTTTCGGATCAGAGCCTTTTTCGCTTTGTCAAACTTACGACCCATCCGTGGGTCGTATTGTCGAAAAAATGGTAATTCTTTTAAAAAAAGTTTAAAACATGTCCCCGAGAATTTTTCCAGAGAAATAATTGAAGGCGCTGACTATCAAAATCAATTTATTTCAGTTTTTGACGTCATACGGTAAGGTTACGGTAGTCATCCTGTCGAAACCAGCGTCACGGATTTTCATAAAAATTGTGTTTTGAAGTTATATCACGTGCTGATCACGTTTATAGTGTCTGTCTTACATCACTACTGTCCCACGGTGGGGTTACGGTAGCAGTAGTCGTCCTGTCAAAACCAACGTCATGGATTTTCGTGAAAATCCATGACGTTGGTTTTGAATTTTGAATAGAATTTTGTAAAAATCAAGAAACTGATGTAAGAAGGTGGTATTAAAACTTGAGACTATTCTTTCGTAGTCAGCATGCTACAATTCCTATATATGTAAAATTCGAGCTTCTTAGGATGAAAAATGCAAAAAATCAATAAAATCGTTAAAATCGATAATTCCTTGGTGGGCTAACGTCAGTCTCTTGCCCGCACCGTATTACTTGTTCATGTAACTTGATTTTCCATAAACAGCATCATTCTGCGAAGAATTTGAGCTAAAGTCTGTGCTTTATATCTATCTACGATACACCTACCGTAACATTACACTACAGTATCCCGAGCCCGGACCACTCTGCTGGAGCTTCACCTAGGTGTCCCCAATCATGTGCTAGAACCCCAATTCCGTCGTTTGGCAAAGCAGGAGTCTCTGCAATCTTACGGCCCACCGGTAGGTCGTATTGTCCGAAATGGAAAACACGTGCGACCCACCGGTGGATCGTATTGTTGTGAATGTTTCGAAAGAAAAAGAAATATTTGTAATTTGAAACTTGATCGAGTACTTTTGAATATATTTCTGGCAAATGCTAGATTAGGGCAAAAATAATATGTCTGCATTAAAAGTTTACTGACGTTAGAATTGTCTATCTGAGGGCAACTGATAATAAACTATGACCTCCCACCCCCCTTCAGAAAGAAACTCATAAATCACCCTCTGCTTCAGAAAGACAATTTTGAAGAAAATATGGCGATACTGTTCATCAGTGGAAAGAAGAGAATGACAGAAAAAAATTTAAGAACAGATTCAGTTTCAAACTTTATCTTCAAAGCTACTATACATAATTTTGAAAGTAGAAAACACGTCATGTAATTAATTTAAAACACTTGTTTCCACCATCTCCAGTTCATATAAGGTAGAGGAACAATTGCGACTGTGTGGCAACTCTTTGTACAACATATTTTATATGCCCAAAAAAAGAGATTGAAATTTTTGCAAGAAAGCTAAATTTTGGAACGTTGAGTTCTGCTGTAAGCAGATTGAACCAAAGTGATCATTGGTTATTTTTCACTGTTCTTTTTGCGGCTTTTCAAGTCCAATTATTCTATTCCCATCATTCAATTTCTTCAAAAGTGCGATCTTTTATGAAAGCTTTTGAAATAACAATGCTGTTTCCAAAAGGTGCTAGTAATTCACTGTAAAATATTTTGGTGTCAACACCACTACGAACTTCTATTACTGTCTAATGGTATGAAATTTACCATTCTGAAAAAAAAACGGCCTGCGGTCATTACATTCTGTACGCTTTTTGAGTTTGCACAACTTATATTTACTCGGCTGTGCTGTAAAAATCTTCAAGTCGTTATATGCAAAAAAAGTCTTATTTTAATCGTAAAGTGATGAAATCACTTTTAGAGCACAATGTCTTGAAATGAGTAATAAAAGACGATCAGACTTTCAAGGCCCGACAGTTTGACACAAAGGCCTTACCTTGCTGGGACGGTAGGCAAGAAAAGCGAGTATTTAAGGCACTAGTGAATACTTTTTAATAATGTAAATTTCAAGGGGAGCACTAGTACTGCTTACTTTTCAAAGAACTGGAAAAAAGTCGACCTCGGAAAAATATTTTGCTACTGAATCTTCTTGCTACAGTACAGTGAAAGAATTTGAAGCGCATTTTGGCAATTTAGTAGATCATCATTCGAGAGATCTCTCCCTCATTCACCATTTGCTTGCGAAGCATTACGCACAAAAAATTGGTAAATCATAGACAAACTATAGTTTTCTGAGTTGTGTTTATCTAAAATGAAGGGCACTTTTTGAGTTGCACTATAAAGCAGCTATACAAATAAATTACTCGCGTGATTTTATTGATAATGAGAAGGAATAGAGCCTAAAAATGCTGGAAAGATTCAATATCGTTCCCAGTTTTTGTGTTGAAATTTTGATGAATTGAAAATGAATTTCTCTCGAAAAGTTTCATAACCTATGTAAACGGAGGCTCTGACGAAAAATCTGAGACAAATACTGTAATGAGGGAAGAAGCAGGAAAAAAGGATAGCATAGCCTTGTTTGAAATCTGGAGTAAAACTCCCAAACATTATAAGTTCAAGTACTACAGTTCAAGCATCCACCATAAAATTCAGTGAAGTTCAATTTTTGAAAACGGAAAATCAAGAAAATAGGTCTGAAATATAGGAGAAATTCTCAACCAAGGCCATTCGAACACTCGCAGTTGTAAGTCGTAACCTACAATTTTTTTGAGCTGTGTATTTTCTGATAGGTTGATAAAGTGTAATCGAACCGGTTTTCCAGTGTCAGATGTTAATTTTGTAGAATTTTTGATCATCTAGCGATTCTAATGGCAAAAAGCAGATCAGGCACTGACAACATGACTCAATCATCACAAAAAACACCCAAAATAATAAAAATAAATAACCTTATAAAAACCTCTATTTATATTTCTTTGTCTCTGTGATTGATGTTTGTCTTGTAATGTTTGCCTTTTCATACAGCCCGCCTACGAGCGTACAAAATAGATAAATAAATAAATATTTCAATAATACCAAGATTCTTTGATATATGAGATACTAAATCCAAACGCCTGTTCGTGGATAATTAGATTTTGTGGATGTTGCACATAGCTCTCCAATAAAGTATCTAGCTAAATTATGTTTTTATGAATGGGCTGAATGGGCTTTTGCATGTCCGGACATTTACTAGTTATTAGATTTTTTGAAGAGTGTTGGTGGATTTTCTTGGGAGAAAAGAATAATATTAGGTTGTCCCAAAAGTTCTTGCGCCGGATTTTCAAAAAATCTTAACTTCCCTGCCACTCAATGGATTTTCTTGACTTTAATTTCATTTGAAAGAGGAAACCTTTTTCTTTACAGAAGTACCTTTGCCATGAATTGGTATTAGGAAGTTCCAGAGCTAGAGGCAATTGAACGAAATCAGTCAAGAATGGCATTTTTCAAGCTGGATCACGAAAAATTCTGAAAGTATTTTAATTTGATAGAGAAAATTCTGCACATTACAGTGGTACCTTTTTCATGAATTAAAACCGAGTAGATCGAGACTTAGAAGCAAATAAAGAGAATTTCTTCACTTTTGCAATTTTTGAGCATGCTCAAAAAAGCTTGAAAACGTCACAGAAAAGGCGAAAAAGCCATAAGCATGGGTTTTGCGACCTTCCCTTTCTAGCTGAGCGAAAATCGTGCCAATCGGGAGCAATTTTGATTTTCGTGATTTTTTTCGGATTTTCGGGTCTGCGTTTTTCACGAAAATCAAAATTGCCCTCGATCAGCTCGAAACTCATTTAGCTAGAAAGGGAAGGTCGCAAAACCCATGCTTATGACTTTTTCGCTTTTTCTGTAACGTTTTCAAACTTTTTTGAGCATGCTCAAAAATTGCAAAAGTGAAGAAATTCTCTTTATTTGCTTCTAACTCTCGATCTACTCGGTTTTAATTCATGAAAAAGGTACCATTGTAGTGCGCAGAATTTTCTCTATCAAATAAAAATACTTTCAGAATTTTTCGTGATCCAGCTTGAAAAATGCCAATCTTGACTGATTTCGTTCAATTGCCTCTAGCTCTGGAACTTTCTAATACCAAGTCATGGCAAAGGTGTTTCTGTAAAGAGAAAGGTTTCCTCTTTCAAATGAAATTGAATTCAAGTAAATCCATTCAGTGGCAGGGAAGTTATGATTTTTTGAAAATCCGGCGCAAGAACTTTTGGGACAACCTAATATAAAGCCAATATTTTGCTGGCATTTCGACTTCCATTTTCTTTTTTCTCTTATAGAAACTTTTTCATTCTTTTTTTTGCTCTCGGACTTTGTATGGACATCGAAACATTAGTACTGATTTGTAGGCAACTTAAGCTCTTCAACAGCGCGAGTTGGAAATTTGCCAAAGGTAATCAAAATAATTAAATACAAAATGCAAAAATTGGATTGTTAGTGAATGTTTGTATATGTGGAAAAGCTACATATCTCCACAAAATCCGAAGATGAGGATATTCTGTTACGAAAGTTATGACGATGTTTTTTCTGAAAATACAACAAATCCTAATGGTCTGAATTTTTGAATAGAAAGTTGTTGCACAAAAATTAAACATCTTAGAAAGCTCATATATCACTTTCCAGCAAATTTTCCTTCTTCCAGTTTCATAGTAGTCTAGCTTGTCATAATTTTGAACTTATAAAACTTTGGCAACGTTAATAATGAACAAGCATCGCTTGAAAAATAATGGTGTGCATTTCAAACAGCCGCTAGCTTATTTTCAAAAGGGAAAAATGAGATTACAAATGTTATCACTTGCTATGGAAGTGAGAAAACCTTAAATGCATTCATGTTTCTCGAGAGAATTATGTTGAGAGGTTGCGATGGGTTAAGGACAACTGCTACTTTCACTTACCTACTGATGCCCATAGGGCCGTCTTGGCTAGGTTCATATTTGGCCATTTTGAGCCGGGTGCACATTTAGGGGCTTCCTCGACTGGTTTGAGGGGTTCTTTTTCTTTATCCTTTGACGGTTCTTGTGATGCTGGTGTGCTGAACATAAGGGAGATTAAGGTCAAATTCAAATCGAAATTTTTAGGCGCCTTCCTTCACCCCTCCCCCCCCCCGTATTTCTCAATAGCGAAAATCAATAACTTCTACAGTGTGTCCGTCTAGGAAAGAAGTTCAATGAGGAAAATTTCCCGAAGTAGAAGTCCAAACATCTCAGAAACCAGTTTTGTTTTATTTTTGGCGAAGAATTTCCATCACCAGTGTTACAAGATTTCTCCACCAGATTAGGAAAAATAAAAAACACAAAAATTTATCCCGGAAAAAACCCAAAAGTGCAGAAATTCTATCATCGCTTCAACAATCAATGTTTATTCAACATCTTATCAATCTTCGCCATCGCTAAAAATAATCTGTCCCGGGCTTCTGCTTATCATTGAACAATTTTGCACAGAAATCAATGAAAAAGCAACAGAATAAAGCTTAATTTTCAGTCAGAAACAGAAACTTGATAGTTTTGTAGGTTTTTTGGGGGTATAAAAAGGATTTATGGGAACATTTAGAGGGCAATTTACACTTGGCAGATGAGAAGAGAAGAAAATTTATGAGATTTGTGGCAAACTGCTAGCCGAGGGAAAAATTGAAATTTCCATTATTTCGACACGTTTCTTATAGTATGTAGCAGAAAGATTTACGAGGGCATTTATACGACTATTTAAGCTTGGCAGGCGGGAGCAAGAAGTGCAGAAAAGAATTTGTATGGTTGGTTTCAACCTGGAAGCTGGAGTGGTGCCTGGAGTAGATACTGGTGTGGCTGATTCTTGAGGTGTTTCAGCCATGAATTAAGAAATAAAAATGAGAAACCCCTTAAGTAGGATTTCGAATGAAAATTATACACACTCATAAACAAGCATATCTATCATCTAACCGTTACGAAATTCATAGACCAAGTTCCAGTAAAGGCACTAATGCTAATCAGGGCCGGACATACTTCACGCAATTTCAGTCGTGATGCGATTTGGCAATACAGTGCTGGCCAAAACTATAGATCCACTATAAAAAACTGCCGTAGTTCATCTGCTTCTCAACGAATTGATCTGAGATTTGGTACAGTTGTGTGTTCAACAGGCATTCATCAGTGACCGGAGCGGATTCCGCTTTCGTTAGATTATTCAGGAAAAAAATTAAAAATTTCGAAAAAAGCAGGCTCGAAGGCTGGCCAAAACTATAGATCCACCTAAAATTTCTGTCTGCTAACGTGACTCTTAGCTTCCAAAATCTTTTGTGCATAAACCTAGTCGAAAGTCAAAGCAGTGGGTTTAGTTTAGCTGCGTCATACCTTTATAAGAAACGCTTATCTGCTTTTTTTCCACTCAAAAACTGCTCTCATGCGTATTTTGTTCCCGAGAATGTGTTTTTGTAGAGAATTCCGCACTTTTTTGACTGGTTTGAAAGTGATAGGACTCCATCTATCTTGTAGATGCTTAGTAGCGTGAGCAGCAGAAAAAAATTCGGGTTTTCGTATCCAAAGCGCACCTGACACAGACATAACCGTAGGCCTGCGCTCGAATTTTTGCCTTCAAAATTGGTATCCGCTATTTTTATAAGCTCAAAATAATGTAGAAGCATTATTTAGCATTATTCACCTAAAAAGAAGTTTGTAAACTATAGTTACGATTGCTTGCGAAGTCGCACTTTAATTCTTTTTCAAAGCATAAGTCTTGCGGTGTGTTCGGCAATCTCAAAGTACTTACCAACTGGTACCTTCTTTGAATTTTGCCACTTTTTAGCTGCTAACTATTGAATACACCCTGCAATATATGTTGCCTTGTGATTCACATGAGCATTATGGTCAGAAGCAGAAATAACTTCAAGGCTTGTTGCAAATCACTATTTGCAGGATGAAGTCCTCAATTAGCCTGCATACTAGGATCTGCAGAAACCTGCAACCACTGCACACGGACTCTCATACATACCAACAATGCAACTACTCCAGTTCACGCTCATGACAACGTTGCAGAAAGAGCTTGAAGGCATAAATTTGAACGCAGGTCTGCGGTTAGGTCTATGTCAGGTGCGCTTTAGATACAAAACCCGAATTTTTTTCTGCTGCTCACGCTACTAAGCATCTACAAGATAGATGGAGCCCTATCACTTTCAAACCAGTCAAAAAAGTGCGGAATCCTCTACAAAAACACATTCTCGGGAACAAAATACGCATGAGAGCAGTTTTTGAGTGGAAAAAAGCAGATAAGCGTTTCTTATAAAGGTATGACGCAGCTAAACTAAACCCACTGCTTTGACTTTCGACTAGGTTTATGCACAAAAGATTTTGGAAGCTAAGAGTCACGTTAGCAGACAGAAATTTTAGGTGGATCTATAGTTTTGGCCAGCCTTCGAGCCTGCTTTTTTCGAAATTTTTAATTTTTTTCCTGCATAATCTAACGAAAGCGGAATCCGCTCCGGTCACTGATGAATGCCTGTTGAACACACAACTGTACCAAATCTCAGATCAATTCGTTGAGAAGCAGATGAACTACGGCAGTTTTTTATAGTGGATCTATAGTTTTGGCCAGCACTGTATTCCAACTGTCCATCACTCACTTTAAGCATATTGCAAATGTGCAGAAAGGGCTTTTCGTCAATCCACATAAGGCATACATGCTATGCATGTGAAATTCATTAGTGTTGGATCTGAAGACTCCTGGCGAATTGCCAAATCGCGTCGCGACTACCGCGTGAAGTATGCCCGGCCCTTAAGCTAGATTTTGGCCACGGCATTGTAGATCAACTAGGCAAAAGCACAAGCGACTCCGATAGGCGGAACCTTTTCAAAATGTGGACCAAATAGATCCACGGCTTTCAATCTACGAGACTAAGTCTTACTTTGAAAATTTGCAAAATCATGGAGTTTCCTGGCATGTATCCTTCAAGCCATTGACTTTAGTTTGAAAAATAATCGGAAAGTCGCCTTTTTTCGCGATAACGGCGCCAAAAAAATGATTGCATAAATAGTCGATTTGTAAAGATTTACTTGAGGATTCAGAAAGGTTTTGCTCAGAGATTCAGCTTTTGGTAGTCGTTGTCATTACAGCAACTATCAAGCCATAACAAAATCGGTAACAATTCGGATTTCATTTATTGTTTGACATAGAGATCTCCTCCTCTCAAAACCACCGATCTTACATGGAAAACTTTCGGAATGAGAAGCTGTTTACGGGCACATCAAGGTCAAGATTATGTGATTGAAGTTTCAAGGTTTGCAAATTGCAATATAAGACGGCATATATGGGAGGAGCTTAGGACCACTGGGGCGGAGTTTGCCATCTTCCTTTTATTTCAATTTTTTCGTGATTTCTAAGCATAATAAAATATAGCAAGTGTACCCATGGATAATTGCCTGGGTCTTTACATGTAGAAGTAAGCGAGAGGTTCGTAGAAATTTTGAGGAGGCAATTCGATTTGTGATACCATGAGTTGTTCTTATGTTATGGCCCCAAACTTTGGACAAATCTCCATTTCAAAACTCATCTTGTAGAGCTTCCTTTGCTGCCTTGAATGGTACCCGTCACATTTTTTGGGTTCTTATTGCTTTCCTATGAAAAACGACATTTTTTTCTATTCAACCTAATAGAAGGCATAAGAGGTGATTCAAATAGTGATGTTGATGAATATGAATTTTGCAGATGTGGACATGTACAAAAATCTTAGTAGTTACCCTGGAAATGGAAAAACTAACAAGGGGACCATGTTTAACCCAAGTAGCCCTGTGGGATGTATACCTAAAGCATAAAACGCTCATTCTAAACCTGTCTTCCTTTTCTGCGGAACGCTGGACGAGGATTTATAAGTTTTCTTAAGGTAAAAATTACATGTGCAAGTAGGACAAAGTAATATTTTTCTTCTAGAGTTCCAATGTAGCAGTGATGATTATCAGAGCACTTTATTGCACTTCATTCAATAAATGCTCTTAGGTAAAAAAAAAATATTACATCTGGTTGCTATTTGAAGGCTATGAAGGTTTTAGCAACTCATTTTATCCTAGATGCTCTTTTTCCTCTCTACTTCAATAAACTCTCATAAATCCTCGTCTATGAAAGTACCGCAGATAAGGAAGGCAGACTTAAATCAGCATCTGATGCTGTTCAATAGGATATACATTTCATTTAGTAAGGCCACTTCGACCAAACAAGGTTCCCTTGTAAGCTATACTTACTTTTGAATAGCTAGCTCCTGAGAGGAGGATATCTCAAAAACTGTATAGGTATTGCTGGATCTCATGGAATAAGCGGCAAGGTAATGTGAGCGGATGGTAGAGGAACAATTGAAACGGAAAGCAGCGGAAACGAATGAAAAAAGAGATTTCCAAACTTGTGACCGGTGATATGCTAATCAGGCACACTTATTATGCAATACATACGCGGTGTTCCAAAAGTACGTACCCACTTTTTAACCTTAAAAACTCTCTTCCCACGAATTCTTTTGCTTAGCTCCGAGCCATTGTCAAGTAGAGCAGGCTCCAACTTATTGTTAGATTTACTGTATGGAGCGAATCATCATCGCTCTTCATTACTGTAGGATTACGGTAAAAACTTCCAACATATAACGCCATTGTGAGGATAAGCTGATTCAAGGAAAAACTTCAAAAACAAATCTGAAAAGTTGTGTATCGGTGTTTTCAAACATGCTCATTTCACTAGACAACTTTTCACGAGTTTCTGAAGCGTTTCGACTGATTTAGCCATATTTTAAAAACACTGAAAAAACTTTATTACGGCTTCCCCAGCATAACATATGGAAGAAGTCTTACGATAAAATGCGAACTTTATATTCAGCATCAACGGCTCAATTTAGGTTAGTGATAAAGTTTTCAACTGGTTGAATATACATTCCGGGACATAATGTAGTCATTGATGGCTCAAAATCCTCTTTAGAGTTGCTACCGTAATCCTACAGTAATGAAGAGGGATGGATGATTTGCTTCATACAGTGAATCTAAGTTGAAGCATGCTCCACTTGGTCCTCGAAGCTAAGCGAAAGGCTTTGTGAGAAGAGAGTTAATAACGTTTGAGAAGTGTGTACTTACTTTGGGATCCTTATATATGGTTAGCCGGGCGCTCTTGATGGGAGAACAGAAAATTCCAGCTTTTCTCACATATTAACCGCAATGCGTTCCAAGAAGAAAGCATGTGAAGAGTCAAGCCTGATACCAAAAGAGATTGTGAGTGTTAAGCAAAGGGGGAAGGCCTGAAGAGCGTGAGACACATTCACGAGTATGATCCACCAGTGGATCATACGTGTCCTGCCATTTCGGACAACACGACCCACCGGTGGGTCATATGCTTTCTGAAGTTGTTGATTTTGCTAGTTTATGATGAAACTTTTTGAATAAATTGAGTAAACTTCTGCATACATTTCTTGAAATAATTCCCAAAAGATCAACACTTTAGACCACAAGACCCATCAACGACCAGAAATTCTGCGCGAACTCAATATAGCGAAATATGCTTTTGTCCAAAATGGCGGACATCGAAAAATCGCCTTGTCGTGAATGTGTTGATATATGCCGTTGCTTGTTTCCGTAAAATCCTTTTCATCATTTTTCTCATCGTTGTATATAAAATATGTAGAATGTCAACATAACGTGAATTTTTACACCACACTATTGCCGGGTAAGGATGGGTAAATCAGCTAGTACGGAGTAATATCCACCGGTGGATCTCATATCTATGGAGCAAAAGTGAAAAATTATGTAGAATAAACGAACCGACGTTTTCCCATTGTCCAGCGCAGAAAAAAAAATCAGAACAGAAACAAGCGTTCAACTGTAGACGCTTCTCAACAGCAAAATGATACAATGGTCAATGGGGGCTGATTGTCAGGTCTTTGAGAGTGAGTACAAAAAACGCTTCAACGTTTGGCGCTCGCGTCGGAGAGAGAAAACGATAGGGGGGCAAGGGCGTCCTGGGCGTAGCAAAAGTGTATTGTTGGCACGTGGAGCGGGTGATGTACGGAGCGATTGTTCTATGTGTTGGCACGAGCTTTGCTCTTTTCACACAAACATTTCGATAGCTATTCAGAATGAATGTGATAAATGGACCGATTGCATGCGAAACAGCACAAAAGTAGCTTGATATCGAAGCACATATGCGGTATAATAAGCGAAGTTTTGGCGATAGAATAGGCCCTGGTGGCTGAAAATAGCATAGGTTGAAAGCAGAGCAAGCTAGGAGCACTCGAACTTCTTATCTGGAAATGGAGTGGCGGAAAGAGGGGGGGGGGGGGGCTCAATCAGGCAACTTATACAAGGTGTCCCAAAATGATGTTTATTGTTTGCTTGTTAATAACTCTCTTGTAATGAAGTCTTTCAAAAAGTTCCAGGCATTTTGTAAAGCTGGATTCAATTTAGATTTGCTCTGTGGAGCGGATTATCAATTGCTCTCTTACTGTAGGATTACGGTAGGAACTTTGAAGGGGTTTTGAGCCATAAAAGGCCATATTTTGCCTCACAAAGCAAACGAAACAACCTAAAAAGTTTCACACTGGGCTAATTAGAGTTGCTTATTCTAAATGTGAAGTCCTCAACTTATCATAATGCTTCCTTGGAAAGTTAAGAGAGGTAAACAGTAAAGGTCATTTTTTCAATGTTCCTAAAAGTGCGGTTACACCGTATAGAAAGCTTCGGGATCTCGTGCATAGTTGAGTATTAAACTCAGCATATATGAAAACCCTATTACACACGTTTTCATATTTTTTAGAAATTTCTGTAACGACAGCTTTTTTTTAAGTGACACCGCCTTAAGTTTCTACCGTAATCCTACAGAAATGAAGAGCGGTCGATGATTCGCTCTATACTGTAAACCTAAGTTGAAGTAACAATAAAACTGTATGCACATGAACACCTTGCATATCATTCATTATCGAGATTGGTTTTCTCCAAAAGAGTACGGTACTGGGCAAGAATATGATCATTTAGAAAAAAGCTGGCGTTGGAGCTTTTTCAAAATCCCCTAAAATATGATTATTTTCTTCTGCACCCCGCCAAATTTTTGTAAGCTAGAATTTTTCTTGTCAAGAAGAAGTATTTGAATTTTAGTAAACCTGGAGCTAATGCCATGCCTCGCTAAATCTGATATAATTACCCACAATAATCGGAGTAAAGTTACTGTTATAGCTTTATGGGTGATGGTATGTGAAGTGTGACAAATTTCCTCACACACTACGATACCGTAATCTTTGCATAGAGGGTACGGTAGTAGGTCGAATTGCAATGGTGCGACTACTATCGCATAATTTATCTCCTACTGCCCTCGATAATAGCCTAATACTGCACTGTATTTGGAGATTTACAATCGCACTAAATCATATTGCGGAGACAAAAACCATTCCTTCCATACTATCTAAAATTCAAAAGAAATGCTGGCTTAAGAGCCGTTATATAGCATTTGGGAGAAAAAAATTAAGCATATATTTTTACCTAAATTTTTGACATTTCATTGCCATATCCTTCATCAATGTCATTTGCCAAAAGTAGGGATCGCCAAGGTTCCGTACTTACTCTAAGATTACGGTATTTATTGAGCAATGGCAATCAGATTTTCAGTATTTCTTTTAAAAATCGCCTAAGAGTTTGCAAGAAGGTTCTATATGTATTAAATATACCCTTAATAAACTCTATGATCTCTCAACGTTAATAGAGTATTTTTGCAGATGATAATTTTCAGTAGAATATTTCTTCGTGAGCTCCTTCAAACAGGGTTTTTGCTTTTGCTCAGTTTGTTATCAAAAACCCCAAAGCTCAACAAATTTGTTATTCAATTCAAAAACCCACTTTTCAAGTTTTCAATAGTAAGTGTTCGTTGGTACCTTTCTCGATTCTGATCCTTTGAGTTGAAAAAAGCTGAGGGTAAATAGCGTCATTGCTCAGACAGCACCTCCAATGACAACTTTTCACCAAACTTTCATTTTTTTTCATTCTTTTTATGTATTTCATTGACACTGTCGTATGTTGCCTCATATTTCAAATCAAGATTGGCTTATAAGATAAAATGCGAGACGATACATCGAATACATCGCGAATTATCTGGGAAGAAAACATTGAAGGCAATAGTGCAAACAGTTATCGAAGAGCAGAGAAGTCGATGATGGCAGGAGAATGGAAAAAAAAGTGTGTCTAAGTAAAGTTTTTGAGATAAAGAATTACTCTGATGCTTAGAGCTGACGCGTCAAAATAGTAAAGTGAATGCTTTGGAATTCTTGTGTACTCGAATCAATACATTGTTCGATTTGGAACTATTCTGAGAAACTTCATTTATGATGATTGAGCATTCAAAACTTTTTACTAAATCGATAGCCATAGACACAGTGGTGTAAGAAATTTGTGTTCTTTGAAATTTCAATACTTATAAATAAAAAATTGAAATGATCCAGAACGAAAGGAACGAAGGTCAAACTTTCTTAAAGTTTATCAGTGAACGAAAAGTGCACTTGTTGATTACAACTCGACGATCGCGCAATTTGTGCAAGTTTTGTGCAATTACACCACTCCTCAGACAGCTGACCGGAACTCCCGCAGAAGGGAGAAAGTTCCGCCGGATCACCTGCGGAAGTTCCGAAGAATGCCAATCCCAACAAAAGAGAACGCCTAAGCGAGATTGGAGCCTTGCTCTAATAACTGCGAACAGGGCTCGGCACGAGCTGGCACCAGGGAAATTTCAAAACGAATTCCCATTTGATCTTGAAAATTTTGTACGAAGTCCGCTTTGATCTGTTTTGAAGACCCGTCATTATTTTTAGATTAGGTAAAAGTATGTAGTAGGGTTTTCATGCATGCTGATTTCATGGAACAACTTTTCACAGCTTTTTGAGCTTTTTTGTGTATTTGAACGTCTCGAGAAGCAGAAAAAGCCGATTTTTCCACTGCAAAGCAGACCGAGTAATTTTCAGATGGCTATAAAATGTGTAAAGAAAACATTGAGAAATTGTTTCTTCTCTGTATGTAAACTTTTACGGTGTAGATACATTTTACGTAAAAAATTATGAAACTTATGTGAGTAAAGTGTCGGTGCCAGCTCAGCTGGCACCCAGCTGGCACGGTGCCAGCTAGTTCAGAAAAAAAGTTCAGCACAGCTTTTATTCACATAAGTTTTCATAAATTTTTGGGCCATAATTCGGGTCCCCCAACGCGCATGCACACACCAAATTTGGTGTCATACTAATGCGTTTTGGCTGAAAAACGCCTTTGTTTGTTTGAGGGCAGCATGCCGGTGGCATGTCGACGACATCCTTGTGGTTCTTCCCCGCCCCGGACCCCGAAAAAACGATATCCCCTTTGCTTTCCGCCCTAAAAACGATATCCAGCTTGACCCGGTGCCAGCTGTGCCGAGTCCTGACTGCGAACCACGCTGCTTCTTGTTTCGTTAAGATTATGCTTAGCTGTAGGTTCAAAAAAAATTTTTTTTGAAAATCTGTCCATAGTTCCAAAAAAAAGCAAAAATGAGCAGTCGTGATATATAGTAAAGCTGTATGCAACTTAATGTGTGAAATTGCACATAGCTGCACCTTACGACTACATCGTGATAAACGTGAGTTGTGAAAACAGCTTTACTACAACTTTAGCAGAAACGACTATTGCGTTCTATAGAATTTCGTGTTGATGAAGGGAGAAATTGGTAACCTACAAGCATCTGGCAAGGGAGGGATGGTTGGTCTTTTGCGATGAGATGTATACCTCGCATATTTTAAAAAGCATAGAACGCTGATTCCAAACCTCTCTATCTTGTCTGCTGCGGGTTCCTGAGCCAGAAGTTACGAAAGTTTTTTGGAGCGAAAAAATTGAATGCATGTCTAGTCTAAAGTCGACTACTAAACATCAATTTTCCATGTAAAAGTGCTGCAGAATCGCGGCATTTTTCGGAAGTTCTGCAACGCTTTCTAAAAAGCCCTGCTCAAGTTTCTGTTTCAAACCAGTTTGACGAGAAAATCTGCGAAAGTTCCATTTTCAACGTTTTCACTTTTTCTGCGAAACCGCTGCAAATTTTGCTTGTCCTGCGGAAGTTCCAGTGAATAGTCTGATTCTTTTCTTGGCATTCAAATGGGCGAGTATATTTATTTAGATTAAATCAATTTAAATGCACAGAGTGACCCAACAGTCAATCAGACCCCAAGAGAATTGTTAGGACTGTTACCCTATCTCTCAAAACTCCTTGCCCGAAATCTCCCTATTAAAGAAGGCAGATTGAAATCAGCGTTCCATATTAGACCACTTCAACTGACCATCCTCCTTGTAGGTCGCAAAATACCCTACATCCGTCCCCTTTCCAACGACACCTAGTGTCCAACTAGGCCCTAGGAGTAGGAAGTATGCGTCGATTTGGTCCCTAAATGTGGCCTATGAGTGGAAAAATGGACCTGGAACCCACAAAAGTTCAAGCCAATCCCCTCACCCCCCTCTCCATCAAGCTCCGCCCATTTTAGTACTCAAGTCGTTTGTGCCTTTAGAATAGGGCCGCAGAAATAGTGCTTTTGTGGATTTTGCCCATTTTGCACTTCATGTCCGTAACCAGGACCACGGAAAGGCGTTAGAATAACAATAATGTAGAAAATAAAGATTTTGGTGTATGCTGCCTTCAAAGAATCTTGTTCGTTTACCCAATAATTTGACAATTTTTTCGCACGGTTTTTTTTTCATTTGAAAAATCTTTCATATCAGGATTATGTTCGTGCGGCAAAAATTGTCGTTATTTTTGAATTTGACTTATCTTAGGCAACTGATTTGGGAAAGTTCCGCCAGGTCACCTGCGGAAGTTCCGTAAATGTGTTGCAATCTGCCACATGAGGTGCTATGGAAATTCCGAAGAATGCGAACCACA